AAGAGTGGTGAACCACAGTTGCCTGGGCCACCATGGAACCACTAGGATACAGTTTAGCCTGACTCTGGCTAGTTTCTGAACTACCCGTAAGAGGAGGGGTAGAGGAGGAAACATATAGAGGAGTATCTCGCCCCACAGGTAGAGGAGGCTGTCTCCTAGAGAGAGAGGGTCTGCTCCCGCCCGACTGCAAAAGAAAGGACACTTTGCGTCCTTTCTGGAGGTGAATACGTCTATCTTCGGACTGCCCCATTTCTGAAAGAGTGGGCGAAGGTACGTCCAACCCAGCTCCCACTTGTGATGCTGAGTAAGACCCCTGCTGAGAAGGTCAGCCTTCACATTGCAGGTCCCTGGAATGTGAGTGGCCACAGGGAAGATTTCGTTGGCCATACACCATTCCAAGAGGGTGACTGCCAGACGGCAAAGGCTCCAGGACACCGTCCCTCCTTGACGATTGACATAGCTGAGCGCCGTCATATTGTCCGTCAGAACAGCTATGCAATGCCCTCGAAGGATGGGCTGGAAAGAGTTCAGCGCCAGCTTTATTGCAAGCAGTTCCAGATAGTTGATGTGCTTTTTTGAATTGAGAGCATCCCACTGGTACCCGACGCATAGGCCGTTGAGATGGGCTCCCCATCCCCATAGGGAAGTTCTGTAGTGATGATCTGCCATCCATATAGGAATGGGGAAAGGCGGGTGGAGGCCTCTGAAGCAATCTGGGGCAAGTCAAAGACTCTGTTTGGAAGTCTTTTGAGTTTTTGCCCTGGACTGTTGCTGTTGTGGGCCATATCTGGACCGTGCAGGGTATTGGTACTGTTGGCGATGGCCTGTAGGTGACTGATGCAGTCTCCAGGTACCCTCTCAGGACGGTTTGTTAAATGGTCGTTTGGAACTGTATCAAGACCAGGAACGCTGGCGGTATGGCTTGGAAGGAGCAGAAACGCCCAAGGACATAGAGGCCTTTATGCTCTTGTCCATCTCCTGCAGAGCAGAGTCAGTAAAGCAGTGAAACAGGCCATCACCGTCAAAGGGGAGATCATCTATGTATGCCCTGGTATCAGGTGGCAAAGAAGTCATTCTCAGCCAGGAGTGAAGGGCAACCGCCGAAGACATAGTTTTGGAGAAAGTATCCAGTGAGTGCTTAGATGAATTCCGAAGCTGCTTCGCCAGAACCATGCCTTTCTTTTGTAGGGTTCAGGCTACTTGAGTTTTGTCCTCAGGAAGAAAGGGCAAGATGTCAGAAAGTTGTTGCCATAATGCATACTGGTACCTACTCATACATGCAATGTAATTGCATATTTTGATTCCCAGGGCACCCGCTGAGTAAAAGCACCTCCCGAAAGCATCAAGCTTCTTGCTTTCCTTGTCAGAGGGAGTCGTATGAGTGCGTCTAGTTCTGGAAGAAGAGGAGACAACCATGGAGTTTAGTTTTGGATGGACATGTAGAAAACCAGCTCCTTCCTCTTGCACTCTATACATGTGATCCAGTCTCCGTGTCGACACCGGTGTGGATGAGGGCTTCTCCCAGGGCACCTGCACTGCATGTAGGAGTACTTTCAACATCGGAAAGTAGATTGCTGTGGACGTGTCCATCGGGACAACATCATAAACCGTGTCCGATATCGATGGTTGAGGTTGGACGATAGACAGACCCAATGAATGAGTCATTCTTTTGACTAAATCTCCATATGAAGACAAGTCCTCAGATGGGAAGATTGGGAGGTCTTCGGAGACCTTATGTTTTGGAGAGGTATCTCCCTGTGAGATCTCACCCTCGGACTGGTCAACATTGGAAGCAACTGGAGATGCTTTGGAAGGCGATGGAGACCTCTGGATAGGCATTGGCAGTGTATGAAGCTCCTTTGGAGTAACTGACGATGGTGGTTGAGGCAATGGAAGACGAGGCACGACTTGCCTCGGAGGAGGAGATTTCTGTGGTTTGGAGAGGGATGCGGGGGGTGGTGGACGATGTGGAGAGCGGGGTAGGGTCAAATGGTGTTCCCAATCCTCCGGTCTCATAGGCATTAGCCAAGGCATCGATGCCGAAAGAGGGTAGGAAGAGAACCAGTACGGCATATGATGATGACCCCATGGGGGAAGCATCGATGACTGATGTCGGTATCGGGAAGGAGAGCCCTGTCCTGAAGGTGCCTTGGGCGAATAATCCCTCCTCAGTGATCGGGATGAGTGGTGCTGATCAAGACGGGCCGCATATTCATCCCATCGACCTCGATTATCCACACAGACTGGAGAACGGGATCGGTCATCAGGTCGATATCGATGGTCCATGTCGGAACGGCCGCTGGTCCAGGTGGAAGTGGACGTAGAGCGTCGGCTGACACCAGAAGCTGCTATTACATCACCTTCAGCTTTGGAAGCCGATACAGATGGGGAGCGTCGTCCAAGGTTCATGTCTTGTACCGGAGGGTTCAGCTGCCTGACTGGAGAGTCAAGAATTTCAATCGGTGGCATCGATTGTACATCCGGCAGCTCCGGTATGGACTGATGCGTCAATAGGGAGTGCGACTGCGATATTGTTGGCAGTGCAGAGCCATTAGGGAGTACTACGCTGCTCACCTTGTGAGACTTATGCGAGTTCCCAATGGACGACTTATGGGAGGTATGTTTCTCCAACTTATTCCTCTTCTGTTTCTTTGCTGGTGTCGAGGCAGAAGAAGCAGACTTGGAAGAGCACTTCTTGGAGGAAGCTGGCCCCATATCAGAACCTGATTTGACTGGTCTCGGTGTCGAGAGGGTATCCGTGGATCTTGGCATCGACATCGATGGTTTCGGTGGGGGATCCGTCGATACTGATGACCTCTAAGGGAGTTCGGTCGACATAGCTGAAGGGCCGGTTCACAAAGGGCGACTTTCAATCTTGCTGCTCTATTTTTGCACATTTGGCTTGAAAAAATTTGCGCAGAAAGCACAACCCTCCGGATGGTGAGATTCACCCAAACAAATTATACAGAGTATGTGTCCGTCTTGCGGCGCTAACTTACTCCCACACGAGGCACACCGCTTAAAACACCCCCACTTCTTATCCACAAACAGTTCCTCAGACATGAGGGGAGAAGGGGAGGGGAGGGGGTTGATGGTCCGAAGACCACAGAAAAGTTCTCACCCGTTACCTCCTCTAACAGTTCTTGACAAAAAGTCCAATGTTCTGAGAAATAATCCAATGGAAGAAGAAAAACGAAGAATTCTCGAAGTGAGAATAGGAACAAGCACCAACCGACAAAAGCTGCTAACAGCGTGGCAGTCAGAAGAGAACTGGTGGGATGTCCGCACTCCACCCTCCTGGGCATGCGCAGTTGGGGTTCTCGCGCAGGCTCAGGGTGGAGACACGAAAATCCCGTTGTGAGCTTTGTACAACACTGATCAGATCAGCGCAGGCACACTAGATCCCATAGGTGTGATGCACAGAGACCATGAAGAAGATCTGTGAAGAGTTTAGGATTAGGCTTCATGGAAGCATTAATCAGAAAATATGACCATTGAAATATAAAACCCTTAAGGCTGAAAAAGGCCAGCTCCTAAACTGGGCTGGCTCCTAACGCCAAAGAAATTTTGTGAAGACTTGTGAAGAAGTCTTTTAACCTAGAGTGTGAAGAAGCAAAACACATCACATTTTACATCTCTGTATCAGTCTTCATATAAAAATGACATATAGATGAAATCACCAATAATGAACTGAATAACCTATGCTGAACCATCAGGAACAGACAGAAGCAAAATTAAAATCGTTATTCCCATGTGCATTTGGAAGAATGCTTGTTGAGCTTGCTGACCCATACTCCAAGCTCAACAACCACTTACAGTACTTAAGATCACACCTTCTTCTCTTCCTCTCCCTGTACTACTTTTGTGTACATATTCCAAATGTGGAAAATCAAGATAGATTATAAAGATTATACGTATGACAACATGTCCAAATTATGTTTATCTAGCACATTTGTATTCAATCAGTCTAAAGTACTACACCTAGAATATGTTGAGTAACAAAAGATAAACACTATTAGCACAAGATCTGCTCACAAGGAGCACAGGCAGCCTTTGCTACAGCCCCTAAATCCTACTCATGCAGCAATGCTTAGCTGCAAAGAGGAATAGTGCTCACACTTTGCAGTGACTCTAGTCCTAGAAGCAGGCTTCTCTCCTTCATCTTTGGTTCAACAAAGCCTGAGGGGAACATTCAGAAGATAAAGGGAAGAAAGAGAAATAGTTGCCAAAGTTTGACTCAATCTCTTGGATAATGAACTGCCATTCCATATTACAGACCACTTGCCCTCCATATCATTTTCTTCAACTATCTTTTATCAGGGAGGCTACACTTAATGATGAGGGCAATACCTGGCAGGCTGCAAAATGACAGAGGTGGTTATATGACAATAAAGGGATGAAATTACCATAGTTATTACTACAGTTATATAGTTATTACTCGTAGCATCTATATAAGTTGAACTTCACATTCATTATTCTGTTGCAATCTTGTTATATAGCTCAATATTAGCCACCATATTATATCAGCTTCCCTACTACAATATGAAAAAATACTGCTAATACTTATCAAGACATTAAACTTTCCTACTCAGTCAAAGCTGAAGTTAATATTCCAACTTTGGCTTTTAGCTACAGTTCTTCTAAATACTTAACAGTCTTAAAAGAGGCAGAAATTGTTCCCACTTATTTTTTATTGTACATGTACCTTCAAGTTCTTAAGACTGATCTAAGGTCATGGTACACCATCCACTACAATCACAAACATTACAGCCATTTGTATTTTGAGTAGATACATCAGCAAAAATATATAGGAATACAACACAGATGTCATGCAACAAGAACTAAGTGAACTCACTGAGTGTGTAAGCAACCTTGAAGGAGTTCCCTCAAACTACTACAATTACGAGGAAACAACAACTAATCCTCCATATTGACAATTATATTTTTAACAGGCTCTCCCTAAAAATCTATGCTTTAATACACCAGAAAAAATAACTCACCTAGTATGTAGATGGTCTTTTGAGCACTTTTTTGGCCAAGAGAATTGGCCACTTTACAAACATAAGTTCCAGTATAATTGTACATCAATGGGCTGAGAAAATGCAGAGTATTATTTAAAGGCTGTAAGCCTTCAGGCCATTGTCCATCCAACCTGAATTATAAAAAATACAGAATAGTCTGTGAACTAAGCTAATACAAATTATTTCATTTGAATGAGAACAACTGTGAGTGTTTATAAACTGTTTGCTAAATCAGCTTTATATATAATACACACCAATACTGCATTTTTCACTTTGTCAGAAAAGCACAATATAAACTTACTAAATTGATTTTAAAATATTGACTGTGTTAATAGGACCTTCTGATTGTGAATTTCAGGTAGACAACTTACTTGTTACCATTCTTCACCTAAGTTACTTTGTCTCAGGCAAGAATCCAATACACATCTAAAGCCATTTTTGACTAGTGTTTCTGTGATTACTAGAGGTGTCTCTTTTGAGATTTGGCCACAAAACAGTAGATGATGTAGTAAAAAAAGTTCCTGGACTGTACCACTTGGGGGGGGGGGGGGAGAACAAGCTTCTCATTTTTTTAAAAAACAAGCCCCTATACTTATAAGAACTAGCTTTCTTTCCCACTTTATCAAATGAAGTGTTAATGGACAATGTTCAGAATTTTCCCACGTTCTTCTTTGCATTTGCAGTTCTTTGTGACTCACAAAAGATTAATGCTGGGGTACAAAACCAATATGGAAGAGCAGCTGCACAGTCAGGAATAGGGATGCTGCAAATTTCTCAGCAAGCTTGTTCAGCAAACAAAGTTACCTTGTTTGACACTCACAATCAGAATGTGAATCAGACTGTTATCTGCATTACAAAAGGGAAAGAAAGAATTCATTTTTCTTCTCTCCCTTCCAAGCTGAGCAGGGAAAGGTGCAATGCTTTTAAAATCTCTGTTAAAAAACAGAGCATAGAGGTCGGTCTCCTTTTCTCTGGGAGCCAAGTGGACTTATATCACTACCACCTCTAATTCTTGCATTTCAGCAAGTCTGGGACACAACACAGTTTCCACGATGAGAGCTTAGAAGAACTCAACTTCCAGAAGATCAGCTAGAAGATTCTCTTCCCCACCTACATAATTGGGGGGGGGGGCTGGATACAGAGCAAAATTTCCATATCAGGAGGTCAGAAGCCAGCCCTCAGCTGATCCCTCATCAGCTAGAAGTCAGCTTCTGATAGCTGCAAGCTACACCACACATGAATGAGTTATGAATTGGTTGCCTGATCACCACTGGCCAATAAGAAGTTAATTGATCTGGCAGGTATTCCAGCACCCCTAGTCAGGGAGCTGCATAGAAAGGATGGGTGATACTGTTTCCCACATGCATCAGCACCTCAACTGAAGGGAGAGCAAGAAGAGTGGGCATTTTTACCCTTGTCCACTGCAGCTATTAATTCACATGGGTCCCAAAACTCTAAGAGTAACCTTTTATGGCAGTGAAAGGGCCTAAAGGGGAAGAGAAGAATGCAGCTTCAGTTTCCCCAAACTGAAACACAACTAAGCTATTTTCCATGAGTTTTTTTGTCTGTTTTGTTGTTGTTGTTCAGTCACACAGTCGAGTCCGACTCTTCGCGACCCCATGGACCAGGTCACGCCAGGCCCTCCTGTCTTCTGCTGTCCTCTGAAGTTTGCTCAATTTCATGTTCGTTGCATCGATGACACTGTCTAACCATCTCATCCTTTGCCGTCCCCGTCTTCTTTGACCCTCAATCTTTCCCAGCATCAGGGTCTTCTCCAGTGAGTGCTCCCTTCTCATTTGGTGGCCAAAGTATTTGAGCTTCAGTTTCATTATCTGGCCTTCCAGGGAACAGTCAGGGTTGATTTCTTTTAGGATTGACTGATTTGATCTCCTTGCAGTCCAAGGGACTATCAAGAGTCTTCTCCAGCACCATAGTTCAAAATAATCTATTCTTCGGCGCTCGGCCTTCCTTATAGTCCAACTCTCGCAGCCATACATGACGACTGGGAATACCATTGCTTTGACCATGCGGACTTTTGTTGGCAGGGAGATGTCTCTACTTTTTATCATGCTGTTTAGGTTCGCCATCGCTTTCCTTCCAAGGAGCAGGCGTCTTTTAATTTCATGGCTGCTGTCACAGTCTGTGGTGATCTGGGATCCCAGGAACGTGAAGTCTGTCACTACTTCCACGACTTCCCCTTCTATTTGCCAAGGAGTGATGGGGCCGGATGCCATGATCTTAGTCTTTTTGGTGGGCTCTCCTCTTTTACTCTGAGCAAGAGGCTCTTTAGGTCCTCTTCACTTTCTGCCATTACAACAAATAACTTCTGCTTGCTATAACACTAGCAACAGGAGATGGAGGTCACAGAAGTGTTTTAGCAAACAATAACAATTAACCTATTAAGTATTAAATGTGCTCAAAATTGCTTTATGTTTCTGGATTTTGTAACCTACCTCTAAACACAGAATGCGGTAGAGACAGAAATATTTTAAAAATATTTTTTAAAAAATCAATAATTTTTTGAAATATTTAAATTAGTATCAATCAAGCTCTCTTGATAATCAGTTAACAGACACATCATTGCCAATAGTCAGGTTCACATATTTACACTTCTCAAAGCTGGCACAAACTAGCTACTAAAGACTACCCTCCATTGCTAGGCTAAGAAGTGGGGAGAGGATAGAGATGTGGAGGCAAGGAAAAATTAGGGGGGCATTTCCTGAGGCCTCTCCCCCTTTTTTCAACAGAAAAATTGGAAATTTGGGGGAGTACTGAAAAAAACTTGTATTTTTTTTTTCTTTTAGAAAGAGTGAAATGCTTTTGGGCATTCTGTAGACATAAAGGTAGACATACACAGTTCTTAATTCCATGATGCATTTCTGCACCCAGAAGGATGCGTACTCTTCACAAAGGAAGCATGCAGGGCTTTCATTGCTTCTCAACAGTTGCATGCCTTCTGTTGTCCTTTTGACCTGACAGAGTTGATCTTTGCACCTCTCCCTCAAACCACCCTGACACATTTACCCAGAGACTCGGTAAAAAGTAGCTTATTGCTCTACCTTGCAGGAGGGAGACAAAAGATCAGAAGGGGATGGGGCAGAAACTGCACCAATGCTTCAGAGGAAAACTGAAAATATAATTGAGCACTTTTTAACCAGAGAGCAAAAATTAAGGCACATGTGCTAAGATAGCATATGGTGCATCAACGTGCAGTTTTCTGTCAAGTACTGGGTATATTTGCAGTTCTGCTTGTACAAAACTAAGGCAATTATAAATTTTTATTCTATAAATATGTCAAATATTGCTATTTTCTATGGTAATTAAGTTGTAAATATGCATTTTATGTTGTTAAAGCAATAAAATTAATTTAGGTCTGATAGGCCAATAAGTATTGCATATATTTTAATTTCCCCCCGAATTGCCAAAATCATTTCTGGGGGAAGAAAAACAGGAGAAAAAAAAAACCCCGCCCCCCCCCCCCCCATGGCTTTAACATTTCCAGAAATTTTGTATAAGAGAGGGTGAAAGGGAATGCCTGCCATGTGCTTATATGCAAGATGGAAAGGTGGGGAAAAAAGCCAGAAGTAGAGACAACAAGAAAGGCAGGAAGGCAGAGCTCACTGACCAATTTCTTCCCTAACAGTAACTGAAATCAGAAGTTTCTATCATTTGAAAGTCATTGGTCTCAAAACCTGAATTTTAAACCCATTTGTTAAACCCAGCTCAGCTGTTAAAATAGTTCCAGTAACATCAACAGAAAAAATGCAGGCACATAAATTACTACAGCAATTATGTATTTTTCCCTACCCTCTGGTATACTGTGTTCCACAAAGCCATTTTTAAAATTTAGTATTGCATTTGTATATCAATTTCATTTTCCACATACATGATTACACATAAGTTTTAGAAAACATTGTTATTTTCAAGTAAATTTGAAGACGACCGAGTTTGCAAAAACAATCAATTACTTTGAAACTGAATTTTAAGACTGTGTAAACAAAATGTCATTACAATACTCCCAGTATCTGGTAATCAGAGATACTTGGGCCTGAATCTTACAGCTTCGTTCTAATAATAAAAGGTACTCCAGCTGCTGGAAGAGTAGGTATTTCAACTCCCCTTCAAAAAACCTCCAACTTTGTGACTTAAGCTGTTCATGAGGATCCACTGACCTCAAAAGGGGGAGGAGAGGGGTCAGTGGGAAATTCCATTCTGAGCTCTGCTAGCAAATCCTGAATATAAGCTACTGCTTCCAGTCCCTGAGGTTTCATTAAACTATTGTTGGTAATCATTTAACTTCTAAGAATCTGCTTCTCTCACACTCACTTTTTTAAAAAAAGCATTATAAATATCATTATACCCATAATTAATGAATTAGTAACTTAGGGCTAAATCAATTTACAACACAGTGTGCAAAGACTATTCCTTAGCACTGTATAAAGAATTGAGATTGACATTTAAGATAGTTTAAAACATCTTTATGATGTTTCCTTAAGTATAAGGAAAATACTTAAAAGTATCAGATTTATTTGAACAAGAACTTACCGACTCCATGTGAACTCCATTGGTAGTGGATTTGCATCAGCATTACACCTGAGTAAAACATTCCCTCGGCCAATATACCAGTTACCATCAAATCCAGTTACTGTAACTTCAGGGGAATCTACAAACATAATTGTAATCAGGGGATTATGAAAGCATGCCAGATCTTCAACTGAGAAAACAACACTTGATTCTGACAATTAAAAACAGGCTCCCTTTTAAAAGTTAGGAATACCTAATTTTCCTGTATTTTAATCTTCTTCTCAATCTACATACAAGTACCTAGAGAATTTATAGTCCTCCTGATCACAACACTCTTTATTACTACTACTTCTAGTAATGCTGCTACTGCTACTACAAGGCAGAACAAGTTATATGGCTCAGGGGCAAGTGATGCTCTGTCTTCTTGGTGCTTGGGGGGTTAAGGTGTGTCTGTTTTGGTAAGTGTTTCCGCCTTGAACTAGAAACCCTGGTGCAGCATCCTGCTTCCACAGGCGTATAGGTCATCAGAATGGTGTAAGAGCAGAGGTCATTTTGGGGGGAATCACAGTTCCCCCAGGTGAGGTACGGGGGCGGGGCACATGACGAAGCCCCGCCCCCTGCTTCCAGCCGCCCCGCTTCCGGCCCTCATTCAGCCAGGAGGAGGCAGGAGAAGAGGGAGGGTAAGTTGCTTCCTCCCTGCCTCTCCCCACTCCTGCCTGCCTGGGGCCAGGGAGGGCCTTTGTGGGGCTTCCTTGCACTCCCGCCGGCCTTGCAGGTCCACCGCCAGGCCCCTCATGGGGCTCGGCAGTGGAGCTGCAAGGGCGGTGGTGGCGGCCGGGACCGTTGGGGGCGGGGTGTGTGGCCTTATGACACACTTTCGGTGATGTCAGGGGGTGTGGCATATGCTAATGAGTTATGCTAATGAGTTCCCCTAGCTCTTTTTCTACGAAACGACCCCTGTGTAAGAGTATAACTCAGATATATCTAAAGGTGTGGGCAGTTTAAAGATAGTCCCCCTTGTCATGGACAGATAATTTCTTGCTGGGGTTCAGACTTACAGGGATATCAAAACTCTTCAGCCTTACAGGGATATCAAAATTCAGGGATCTTAAGATGATCCACCCCATAGCCTAATGGAACTGACTGATTTTCAGATGACATTAGGGGATTTTCATCCAGATATGACCAGTACTCCTGTTGATGGGGTTAAGAACGTAAGTAAAACCTGTTGGATCAGACCAGTGCTGTAGGTAGTCCAGCATCCTGTTCCACCCAGCAGCCACCAGTTGCCTTGGTGAGCCAACACGGCACAGAGGCCAAGGCTTTTCACTGATGTTGCCTCATAGCACTGGACTTTTTCTTTTTTAAGGTAACAGAATAGCAAAGCACATCAGTCTATATAATGGCCAAAAGTTATAAATAGGAAACAGTAAAGACTTGTAAATTTGACATATCAAAACTGTAGTAGGAGGCTGTGAAACAATGCATGTAAGATTTATAAGTAATGTCCTGAAATGTTGTGACTTCTGAAAGTAGTTCTTGACAGGGGGTTTAAAAGGTAGGGAGGTTGGTTGGGGGGAACATTTGTGTGAGAAGTGGAGTGACTTTGAGTTACAGAATGAAAAAGAACCAGGAGTGGAGAGTGAAGTGTTCTCATTGGACAAGAGGTTGTGAGTGAAGGGGGATACATACAGGAGACGCTGAGGACAGAAAAGCAGATTGGGGGAAGGGGGTGGAAAAAGAAGATAATCTTAGGAAGGTTAGATGAGTAGGGATTTTTGAAGAGAACCAGTTAGGAAAAAGAAGGCATCACTGATAAGATTGGGAAAGATTAGGTTTTTTATTGCGCCTATAAATAAAAATATAATTTCCTTTGACTGATTTACATTTCTCCAGTACTGGACTAGAGGCTGAGAAAAGTGATTGGATTTTCTGAACTCTATATGATTAAAAAAATAGTCTGTTTGCATTCAGTTTATTTTACAAGTATTGGGTCGGATCCAGCACAAATTTTCAGCTTGTGCTGGAACTCTTGCACAAGTGGAAACATAAGGAGAAAAAATGCAGAGGTTGCTTGCACCAGGTCAAACATACTGAATCCCACTTGTGTTTCCATTTGTGCAAGATCTTATGCAGTTAATTTCTGTGCAGCTTCACATATAGGGAAGAAAAAGCTAGATATTGTGCAAGATCTTGTGCAAAGAGAACTTCACTATGTTCATTTATGTACGGAGTCAACAATTCTTCACCTAACATTAATGGTTTCAGGGATAAGGCTTACGCTTGTCAGTCTTGGTGAGAGAAAGGAAGTACAGATCTAACGTGATATAAAGAAATATGGTATTGCCTCACCAGGAGACGCTCACTGAGATCTGGGAAGTGGGCGAGGCAACGGAAGCATGGCTTGCAGTGGAGGAGGGTGCCTGACATTGCAGGATTTATCTTTGCTATGTTTAGCTATCAGGACATGAGTTATTGGATCCTTTGAAGGGGTATCCGGCTAAGGCAACTGCATTTTTACTACTGGACTCTGCCCAGGACCACATCACACCAGGCCCTCCTGTCTTCCGTCATGCTCCGGAGTTTGCTTAATTTCATGTTCATTGCATCGATAACACTGTACACTTTCCGACCTGAGGGGCTCATCTTCTGGCATCATATTTTTTAGCCTTTTGTTACTGTCCATGGGGTTAGGTAAAGGTAAAGGTTCCCTTGCTCGAAAGCCAGTCGAATCCGACTCTAGGGTTGCGGTGCTCATCTCTGTTTCAAAGCCGAAGAGCCAGTGCTGTCCGAAGACGTTTCTGTGGTCATGTGGTCAGCATGACTAAACACCAAGGCGCACGGAACGCTGTTACCTTCCCACTGAAGTGGTACCTATTTATCTACTTGCAATTTCTTGCTTTCGAACTGCTAGGTTGGCAGGAGTCCATGGGGTTACTGCTCATTAATTTCATTGAGCGGCCACAAGTTCTTGTATTCTGAGAAAGGAAGAAGAGTTCTTCTTCCTCTGTCTTCTCTATCCCATGCATAATTTTGTAAACCTCTATTGTGTCACCCTGCAATCATCATTTCTCCAAGCTAAAGAGCCTTTAACCATTTATAGGGTTTATAGGGAAAGTGTTCCATCCCCTTAATCATTTTACTTGCCCTTTACTGCAGCATCCCAGGTTGTAGAAAACTTTGGGGAGGGGGGTGAATCATCACATACCCGGACATCTCACTCAGACAGGCAGCCCTCTTTAGGGCAGATAGGGTACACCACTCAGAATAGGGCACAGACATTTGGCTGCATGATATTCGTGATAGTCTGCTGAGTTGGCTACATGCATATGAGTGTTGGTGGGAGCAGGATTTGGGCTCACCCCACTCTGTGATGGTTTTTGGCATTGGGAAGGATCTTTGGGGGGGTGCCGGTGTGCTCCTCTCCCCCATTTTGAGGACTCCCTTATGGGGACTTGGAGGTTGAGCCATTCAAGCCGCATGCCCAGCTCAGGGGCTGCCGGTTGGCTTTCACCACTAGGTGGCAAGGGCACCATGCAAAGACCAGCATCCACATGGATCTTGGGTCTTGTCATTATATGGTTTTATCCTCCTGCAGGAGGGGTGGGGGTGGTTATCAGGTGGCAGGCAGGACGCCCAGTGTTTGGATCTGTCCCCATACTGAGCCAATGCTCCATTTGACTGTAATCAATAAAGCTGTGGCTATTTTAGCTTATTCACACTCTGTTTTCTGAGGGTTTTCTTCCACCACATTCCCCTCCTATCTAACCTAGACCCACAAATGGGATAAAAAAATGAGAGATTGAGGGAACAGCCCCATTAAGTTGCAGAGGCACCCCTATGATTTTGAATAAAGTGGTACTGAGTCCATGGTTAAAAGTAGGAATTGTTAAAAGGAAAAGTGTCTTGGTAATAATACACTGAACTCTGTAGCTTCCATTCTCTGTACCACAACAACAGCAAATGTCAATTTAACAACAGACAGCAATCCAAAGCAGATCTACTCAGAATCCTACTCAATTCATCAATAGGGCTTACAACCCAGCAAAAGATTCTTAGAATTTCACTGCCAATCTGTTGTTGTTGTTTTTTAATGTATTTTTCAAAGATGTTAAAAGATGGACATATAGAGATAGAGAAAAACACCACATACATCATTCTGCCATGGAAGCCCTCTGGTTGACCTTGGCCCAGTCAGTCACCCCCCCCCCCACCTAACCTACCTCACAAGGTTATTATAAGAATAAAATGGAGATGAGAATGATGTTGTAAGCCACTTCAGGTCCTTACTGGGGAGAACAGTGGGGCATAAATATCTAAATAGAATATAACCTAAACTACCTCAAATGTTGCCATAAGGACAAAATGGGACACCATCTATTCATGCTACATTGAGCTCCTTAGAGAAAGGGTTCAATTAAAATGTGAGGGGGGGAAAGAGAGAACAACTCTTTCTGTTCCATAAATTGTACAGCTCAATAAGGTAGTAATTACAGGGCATCAGCAATACTTTGATCTACTACATTTGCTGAGGCAGCACAAACCTATTACAATGTATACATTTACATTGTTATCCTAAAATACAAACTACAAAACAAAGAGGTTGATCTGTATCCTCACATCAATGTTCCAGAGCACAGATGGCCAGTAACACCATATGAACTGTTCTTTCAACTAACTGAACTCACACCTACACGTTCAAAGAACTTTCACTGCCAACTGAAAGTTCCTAAGAGCTAAGATTATAATAGATTTGTACTAGTAAGACAGCATTGGTTTTTTTGCGCAGATTAATAAGTGATGAGTATATAACATATATCCGCTACTTACATTGAATGTCTAGTACATAAGAATGTCTTATCTCCTTTTCCAAAGCTGGATGTCGCACAACACAAGTTATACGTCTTCCTCTAGCAAACCTGGTGGGGACAAGCTTGTACAGACTCTCAACTGTCACAGTTTCATTTGGATATGAAGTTGAAGTGGAATCCATTTCACCAAGACCTCCTTCCCAGGTAATATTAGCAGCTGGTTTTCCAGTGGCTGCTGTGCAAATGGCTGCAACTGTTTGATTGGCACCATCTATTAAAGTGTTTGGTCCCTTTGTTAGGCTCACAATTGGTTCAACTATAGAAGAAATACAGATAAATGTTATTGACACACATTATTTTCTAAAAGTTTCAGAGCAACTCCCAGCCTCAGTGACACTACAGAAATATGATACTTAGCTTCAAATACTTAGAAAACTATATGTCCTTTAATTTCTGAGAAATTTTCATAGTCATTCCTCTCTGCGAAGCTAAACCCAATAGCGGACATAATTTTTCTGACATCACCCACTTGACTAGAGACACATGTTTATGATTAGACAAGTTAACCAGATAGTTAGCATAAAAGTTAAATGTCATAAAAAGCTTAATTAGATCAGACAGCAACTTTGACTTGTATAAATATAGATTTACAAATATTTTAAATAAATTGAATTTATAGTAGGCTCCTATGAGACTCAGAGCAAACATTAAGAAACTATTAAATCAGTATGTATTTTTATTAGACACTTTTCAACAAAAAAGTTCCCAGTGACTTACAAACTGGAAGAACAGCATTACTACCATGAACAGCCAGTCCACCAGGCTTGTTATTCAGGAAGATTCAACCCTCCTAAGCTTCATTTCTGGAAAATGGTAGAATGCAGAGGAGATGCCAGCAGTCTAATTAAAGCTGTTGCCAGCGTAAAAATGTTCAAGAAGTTTGTTACTAGAGTTATAAAATTGTAACTTTTCTGGCCATGGTGGGAAAAAACAACTGTTTCTTGGGATTCTGGAAAACATTTTAATTTTAAGATGGCTGCAGAAGCATAAATTGATGAACTGTTCAAAGGTTATCATGGCAGAAAATGAATGTAATTTTCATTTGCAAAAAAAAAAAATCAACAAATGAATAATGTACAGAACTTTAAAATTTCAGAAATGTGAGAGATGACTACAAAATAGTTATAGGTTACCTCAATAATCTCTCAATGTAAATAGTTCAGGATTCCCGTGATCTTGTTTAGCATGTTTTCATATTTTTAAGAAATAATTATTTGAATTTAATTAACTGAGGAACAAGACTGTACTCAACTGCAAACTTGGAAAAACCTTAACATTGAATTCATTCAAATATAATGTAATCCAAGAGAACTGGGGTTTGCTTACTGTAACAAGTTCAAGTGGTTCAGAAGTAACAAAACTAAATTTTATGTAAGCCACCCTGAGCCTGCTTCAGCAGAGAGGGCAGGACACAAATTAAATAAATAAATAATAAATATACACACACCCATCCTTGTATGATGCTACTGTCCAGGATTAAATGTTGCCAAATAAAAATATTTGAGTTTTTATATTTCACATGTATGAAAAAATTAATGCAAGGTTTGACTTCCTCTAAATCAAAACTTTCATGATTACAGGGGTGGAAACTAGTCAGAGGGTCAAAAATACTGATTTTACTGACCAAAATTCCAAAAACCAAATACTGACAAAAAACTCACAAATTACTGAACAATTTAATGTCAGCCTACTGATAAGCTAGCGTTTTAAATGTAAAACTAGGACTTAATTAAAAAATATTATTATCTGGCCTCCACCATCCCCATAGCCAGCTCCATAGTTAGATGTGACCCAGATAAAAGGATTGAACACCTTTTTATTGTTTTTTTTTAGAATAGAGAACAATGTTTTCATTATTGTACAAAATATAAGGCAAAAAAGATTCCCTTTTAAAAATAATCACATACTGCAGATAATAAAACAGCAAAAACATATTAAAACCCAAACAAAGTAATAATTATGACAACAAAACATAATTACTGTAAGGTAACACTTGTCTTTACTTGTACTATATCTTTGGTTTTTTGATGAAAAAAGAACCGGCCAGCAGCCTGCCATCCCTGGTGGAGGCCGTGTCAGGCTGGGCATTGGAAAACCCTAGACCGATTGTCCTGCGTGATTTCAATGTCCATGCAGACGATGTGGCCTCCACTCAGGCGAAGGACCTAGTATCATCCGTGGTGGCGCTGGGACTCTCCCAATATGTAATGACTCCCACTCACCGGGCCGGACACACACTCGATCTGATCTTCGCAGCAGGGGTCACAGTGGACCAGGTCACTGCCTCAGCAGTGCCATGGTCAAACCATCATGCCCTAAAGGCCTGTCTGAAGGTTTCACCCCAACCCTGTTTGGGCGGCGAGCAGATTTCAGCTTGCCCATGGAGCCAAATGGACGCTATGTGGCTTCAAATGGCCCTGCGGGATCCAATGCCCCCTGGTGGCTCGTTAGATGAGCTTGTGGAGGATTGGCACAGCTGACTCTTGGCAGCCATCAATGAGATCGCTCCCCGATGCCCTCTGCGCCCTCATGCTAGCCTGGCTCCTTGGTTTACCCAGGAGTTGTGGCTGATGAAGCGAAGGCTAAGATGGCTAGAAAGACAGTAGTGATGCGCCTGCGATGAGGTCAAAAGAACATCTTATAGGACATATATGAGCTCCTATGAGATGGCAGTCAGAGTATTATGTAAGCTCATGCCCAGCTAGAGATGTAAAAGTTCCAGAAATTTTGAAATGGAAAATGGAAATTTTCGGAAAAATTGGAAGGACATATATGAGCTCCTATGAGATGGCAGTCAGAGTATTATGTAAGCTCATGCCCAGCTAGAGATGTAAAAGTTCCAGAAATTTTGAAATGGAAAATGGAAATTTTCGGAAAAATTGGAAAAAAATGCTACATTAGCATTTCTTTTGTCTTTTCTAGATTGAAAGTCATTCTGTTACTTTAGGAACATAATATATGACTATGGACATTTTTACTTGGCATGAAATTACCACAACCAGCATATTAAAAATATAGAGTATCCAAACAATTATTACAAACAGAATACCCATCCACATGCAAAAACAAAACTTAAACTTTTTTATTTTCTTCTGACAAAATCGCACTTCCTAAAGGAAGAAATGCATCTTGTTCTTGCATTGGAGAGTTCAGTTTGTAACCTAGGACTTGCTTGTCCTCAGTGCACAGAAATTAGATCAATCTGATACCATATATATATATATTTTAGAAATGATT